ACCCAAACCTGCTCCGACCGTACTGGCTAAGAAAATTTAGCATCCATGCTCCGGCCGTACTGCCTAGGTAAATTTATCTATCCATGCTCCGGCCGTACTAGCTAGAAAAATTTAAAGCCATACTAATGTTTGGCAGGTGGTACCGCACCGATATTGGTGAATTTGAAAACTATAGGTGGTACCTCACCGACATTGGTGAATGAAAAAAACTATGCAGGTACCGCACCGATATTGGTGAATGAAAAAACTATGCAGGTACTGTACCGATTTTGGTGAATGAAAAACTATTTCAGTTTTACCCTTATTCTATGAATTGAGAATTTCGGAAATGAGCTATAAATTTAATTTCAGTTTTTTTTATGGACAATAAAATACCATAAGTAAAACTAACATCTTCAAAATTGAATTTTAAAAGCTGACCTATATTTATTGCATCCAATACCAATAGGTCTTTCTTAAATTTTTTGATTGAATTTAGTTGGCATTTTAACTTGCATCATAAAGTATCTATTTCTTCATTTCTTCAATGTATTTGTTTTATTTCTCAAGAGTTGATTCTGAATGATAATATATTATATTTGATATATTAATCAATTTTCATCGTTTTTAAAATTTCATATCGTTCTCTTAAATGATACTTCCTCTTTGTTTAAATAATGTCCTCAAGTTGATGCCCGATTGATTACTAAATTCTCCTCTAAAAATTTGAGCTCCTTAAGATTAAAATATAAGCTATTGTGATATCAGAAGAATAGTGATAATCGATGAAACTAATTAATAATAGATAATTAATACCATTATTGTTAATCATGTTGTTATAAAAAATTGGAGTTTAAAATTATGCTAAAATGTTTTTATATCGATTATCTAATGAGACGATTTCATCTTGTGTCTTAACATCCCATAAACGGATAGAGTTATCTGAACTACCAGATGCTAATGTAGTACCATCAGGAGAGTAACAAATTGAATTAACTGTTGATAAATGACCATCTAATTTGGCTTTTTATTTTCCTGTCTTAACATCCCATAAACGGATAGATTTATCCCAACTACCAGATGCTAATGTAGTACCATCAGGAGAGTAACAAATTGTTCTTACATAATCTGAATGACCATCTAATTTGTCTTTTTATTATCCTGTCTTAGCATCCCATAAACGGATAGACTTATCTGCACTACCAGATGCTAATGTAGTACCATCAGGAGAGTAACAAATGGAATAAACTGTCTTAGAATGACCATCTAATTTGGCTTTTTCTTATCCTGTCTTAACATCCCATAAACGGATAGAGTTATCGTGACTACCAGATGCTAATGTATTTCCATCAGGAGAGTAACAAATTGAATAAACTGTTGATGAATGGCCATCTAATTTGTCTTTTTATTATCCTGTCTTAACATCCCATAAACGGATAGA